ATTATGTAGTCCTCCTCGCCATCCTCATCACAGCCTCATTCTAGCCACTGCAGAACGAAGGCCTCATCATTGTGTCACCATGCATCCCTGCCCTGGGTCAAACGTAACCATGTAGGCCCTGCAAAAGCTACCAGTCCATCTCTCCGTCTTCGTCGCTGGCGACCCTTCTTACGCCTACCATCTTTGGGTCTCCATTCTGTTGTAAGTGTAGTCAATCTTCCATCTCTTCTTCCAGTGATGAGGGCAGTCCTTTTTTTTTTCCCCCTAACCATCTTCAGTCTTCAGAGTGCTTTCTCTTGGTTCACTCAACCATTAACTTTTTCTCCCCCAGTAAGATTGCAACATACCTCTATGTTTTGCAGTCTAGCCTTGACTTTCACCAGCGCCTTGGTGAACATTCATCTTTCCACTCCATCTCCTGCCAACATGAAGGTGCCTGCCTTTGATGAGTACCGATCAACATTCACGATAATGTTTAAGTTCCTGTTGTTAAAGTGAATTTGTTTTCTCTTACCCTTCAGCTTTCTGATTTCATTTAGTTGACTCAGGTCAACAAATATTGTGTACCTTCTGAGTTCTTTGCCATCTATTACTTTCTTTTTCTTTCTTTCTTTCTTTTTTTGTTTTTTTTTTTTTTATGTTTCTGAGCATGACTTTAGTCTCTTGGCATGCTCTGGGATCACTTTACTTACTCTAGCCTCAATCTAAATCCTTCATGGTGTAGGGTGTTTCATCTAAGCTATTTCATTCCCTGAGGTGGCTCAGGTACTTGGTTTTATCTTGATCTGATCTTCCCTGACTATTCAGTTTCTAAAGATCTTTTCCAAGTAGGTGGTGAAGATTCCCTCCTTGTGTATTGATGTAGGACTCCCACAAATGTTATGATTTCTCTTTTGTAGGGTAATATTATCTACAAATTATTAAAGTATATTCTTATAATCTTGCTAATTATCTTAAATGTTGAGGTTGGTAGAATTCTAATAATTCTTATAACTGAAATTGTAGATTTAAGCTCTTATCTTTCTAATGTTTTGAACTATTAAAGGTAATGTTTGGCAGAACTTACCTAAAGGTACAGTATTTAAGAGGTTTGGTATGTACAATAAATGGATAAGAAACTTTTCTTTATGTAAATGATCATGACTTTTGAAGCCAGGGCAGTGTGATTGCATATACAGTTAATGTCTAAAAACAACAAAGTCCATTTTCCTTCCCCATATTTCTCCTTCTAGAGCTGTAATCAAACTATGAAGTAGAGTCTTTCCTTAAACATTTGGTTCTACAGATTATCAGTGTGGTCACAAGTAGCCTTCCATTTGTGCTGAATATTAACAAAGGCGTCTTTCTCTCTCTATTTTCTTGTTTTTATTGGATCACAACATTCATTTGTCATTTTTCTTCATTCATTCATTTGATATGTGTTGCTTCCCTACTGTGTCACACAGTTTGGCACAATGAGAGATGCAAGGTGAATTAGATGACCAGAGTAAAATCCTTAAGCTTATAAATTCTGACTTGGGCACAATTGATTCAATTCTAAATATGAATAATTTTACTTATATTAAAAAATATTCTGAATATACATGAGCATGTCATAAAATTTGGCATTTCAGGTTTTCTATGTTTTTATAAAATGTTGATCTCTGTTTCATGTTAATTCCATTGCCTCATAGGTTTAAGTATTTTGTAGCGTAGTGGTGAAGAACATGGATTCTAGTACTGGATGGCTTAGGTCAGAATCCAGATTCCCTCACTAACTAGCTGTGAATTAATGAATTTCCTTTAAGCATGGTACTTAAAATCTCTGTGCCTCAGATATCTTGAGGATAAGGTGTATATAATCATACTATCTACTCTACTAGCTTTATAAACTCTTTGGCTATCCCTTATCTGAAATGCTTGAGACCAAAAGTGTTTTGGATTTTGGATTTTTATAGATTTAGGAATATTTGCATTATACTTACTGGTTGAGTATCCCAAACCCCAAACTCTGAAATCTGAAATGCTTCAGTGACTTTTCCTTTTAAACATTATGTTAGTGCTCAAAAAGTTTTGGATTTGGGAGCATTTCAGATTTAGATTTTTAGATTTGGGATGCTGAACCTGTATGATGTTTAATTGTTTAATGCATGTAAAGCATTTAGAACGGTGTCTGGTATATATTAAGTGCCATATAATTATACATTAAATTTAATCTGGATTTTTATAGTGTGAAATTTATATTTAGTATTAATTTTTCGCTAATTGATTTGTTATATTTTTAATTCTTTCAGATAACTAAGAAGTATTCTAAATTAGGAAATTAAAAAGTATGCATATATATAAGTCTAGGCAAAAATATTCAATTTATAGCTTCTGTTTTCTGCATTTTTTATAGTTATTTGTTGTTTTTTCTTGAAACAAAAGACTTGCTGGAATTTGCTTTTTATTTATTCTTCTTTTAGTGGAATATCTTTAAGCAGTTGGATAATTACAGATTTTAGATTCTTAGACTAATGAAAGTTGAATAAAGCTCATACCAGGCACTGAGGTTTTGTGGAAGGCTGAAAATTTTTGAGCTTTACTTATCTTTTAAAGTAGTTTGAAAGCTTTTCATAACCTCTTCAGAGTTTGTATTTTTAGTATGCACTTTTAGGTAAAAGCTGTGATGATGCACAATTTCAGGTCACTAGATTTGGTAATTGGTTGCATTTGTGATCATGTAGTATTATTATTGTAATACTTCATAAGATTTATATAGCACTTAACAGTTTACAAAGTATTTGCATATATCTCATTTAAACTTCAAAATGAATTTTAAAAAACTCAAGGCTTACATGTTCAGTTCTGTGACTCCTGTTGTATGTGTACAGGGTTGTATTTACTAGCAAAATGAGAAAAAATAGAAGCCATAAGATGCAAAATTCTTAAGAAGGGACGGTGTTAAAATAATTACCAACTCTAAAGATTTAAAATACTTGATATCCTATTTTAAAATTGTCTTAAAATGAGGAAACAACACCCTTTCCTAGTTGAATAATAAATTCTTTGTAGCATTTTTGTTATAGAACTGAATTTGCAAGATAGAATTGTCTAGGGTTAGCTTTGAAAAATTGGATTCTCCTGGTCATTGACAAAATTGGATTGAGTTATCACACTTTTTGATTTGCTGAGCAGGAAAATAAGAGAACTCATTATCACTATCTTTAAGTATTTGAAGAAATATTCAAGAGGGATTAGACTTTACAAGAGGAGGAAAATACAAGATTTGTTACTATATCTGCCTTAGTATGGGGTATAACTAACAGAGTTATCAAACAATGGAATAGACGGACTCAAAACGTTGTGGAGATTCCCTGCCTTTGGAGGGGCTACTACTAGATGGGACTGTGGTAGAAAGGGGGTCTAGTATTAGGGCAATCGTAGAACTAAATAACCTTGACTTGTACCAATTGTAGGACTAAATTGTCTGTTCTAGACTGAATTCAGAAGACCTACTTTGCCAGAACAATTTATATTGAATTTCTTCTGTTCATAATTTGAGGGAAATAGTATCTGAAGAATTAGATTTGATGAGTTAATTTATCTGTAAATTTTTTTTTAATTCTATAAATCCAAGATAGTAATGCTTATTTTGTACCTTTCAATATCTGTATCAGGAAACTTCATATTACAACTACTTGAAAATACATAATTACTTGAGGGTGAAAAGAGTATAATTTTATCAGTTAAAATACTATCTGTGTTATTGAAAGGATATTAAGTATTCTGAAATGTAATTTGATATATGCCTCTTGAAAATTTTTGCCTCTAAAATTTGCATTCTACATGTATTTAAATGGTGATTGTGTTTTATTTCAAACCATTTAGATTTGATTTATGGCTAACATATGTTAGTGTGAGTATACAGTTGCTGCATAGCCTATAAAATGATAATTAATGCAGTGGCATTGCATAAGTTATTTGTCTGAGAAATATAGATATTGCTTTATGCAGATTGAACTTGGTAAACTAAGAGAGCCTAGATCTAGTTTTAATTTCAAATTATTAAGAGTCAAAGCAAGACAAAAATTATAGGCTACAATTCATTGTACTTTAAATCTGTTCTTACTCTTCTTCCCCACTTTGAATTTTCTGGGATATATTCCTGTATCTATTCAATTTTAAACTTTTAAAATCTAGAATAAATAAAGGTGCTTATTTTAGTCTAAGGCTGTTTACCTTGAATTGTTCAAAGCAAAAGATTAAGTTCAGGTTATTAAAGGAAAAACTTTCTTGAAGTCTTAAAATTTAATTTGAAAGTGTTTTTT